CGCATGCCAATGTGCATTGGCTCGTTTAGTTTACACTCGAAGTAGATTGGTCTCTCTTAGCGAGATCCCAATTCGTCGGTCATCTGACGTGACGTCTCCGTTCCCTCCTTCAGGGAACGAGGGTTACCATACGTAACCGAGACGTTTCTTTCTTTTTTGTTTTTTTATGTGAATGGAAATCTGAACTTTGAATAGCTCTGTAATTGGCTACTGTGCATGCACAATGCATGATTACCTACTAAGCAAAAGCAACTTTAAAAAACGCATGAACGGATAATTCTGTTACTTTAATTATGCTACCTTGGAAGTTCTGTTGGCATGCTGTCAACATTTGAACCATATCTATTTCATGTTTCATGTAATTTCTTAGTGATTTCCTGAGGCAAGTAAAACTTAATGATTTTTGCATGCTGGATGATAAAACGGGTGAAAGATTCTTACATTGAAAAAGGAATGCAAGCCATAGCTAGTGCCAGAATATCATACAGACTTGATAGTATTGTACACTAAAACAAGTAGAATTAAAATGTTGAGCTAAATGTGGACAAAACAAAAAGTACACACACAAATCACTTGTCCATGACGTTCCTGGGTTTGACCATAACTTCACTAAAACCGATAATAGTTGCAGTTAGATTTCAGCTCAATACATCATTCAGTTATCTTTAGCTTTCACCTTTTAAAACCAAAAAAACACCAATTTTTGAAATGGAATCAACATGCCCTCTAGCAACTAGTGAAGAATGAGAGGAATTTTTGTTTGCTGTTCATTAACAAGTCAGAACATGTAAAGATAGACAAAAAATATGTATGAAGTATATATCAAAGGGGACGAGGCCCAACCACATTCATGCGAATCCAACTCAACAAATTTCCTCACGGTTGCTATGGAGACTGCACTGCATTCCTTTGGGGGTTTAGATGACGTAATCCCAGATTCTACACCCCAAAACATACACACACTCACTCCTTGGCTTTCATCGTAAAACAGCTCTCATTCAGAAAGCCTTTGTCTGGAACAATGGATTTGATGCCACAAATGTCACACACATCATCTTGTACTAGAAGCGTTGCTTCAAGCTGCCTCAGACTTTGGTCATGTCTTACAATATGTATTGTTAAGGAAATCTTATTTATTTGAAGCAAAAGTTGGAAAATATGTTGCATTACAAATTCAAAAGTCATTCCTACCATGCAGCACATTATGACATCAACATAAATTATGTGTAGCAATATTAAATATTAAACTGACAAATATTTTAAAGATGGAAATCATCCGTTACCTTTTATCATAATATCACATAACAGTAGATTTGAAATAATTATTGTAAATTCTTTGTTTTGTTGTATTACTCTGTTTCATCACATTCAATCCTGTTTAATAAAAACTGGCATGTTAACAGAAAAAAATTGTTAAAAATATAAAGATCAACTTCAATTGACAAGATACATATATATATAGAAGAAATCATATGTATATATATATATATATATTGAGAGAAAAGCAAGCAATTTGGATTCTAAAAGAAAAGAGGAAGTCAATTAGAGCTATAGCAAAAACAAAGGGCATGGAGAAATCAAGAGTTTGGAAACCACCGGCGACATCAGCAACCAACAAAAACCTGATCGGCTGAGAAAAACAACAGTAGTTGATGACAGACAAATCATAAAAGCTGTGAAAATGAACTCTAAAATATGTGTCTGTAAAACCACCAACAACCTTTTCCTACCACATGACAAGCTAATGACATGGTTGTCAGCATTATAAGGTATAATTGCTGGTTTTTGCTGTGCAAATTTTGTTTGTGATGAAAATAACAGTACTTTTTCGTCAGTTATTTTACCTACGGATCGATGCATTTCTTACAGATTTCTGCTCATTCGAAATCGGATACAGATGAAATAGCACTGTACATTTGTTTGAATGCATTATTGAGAGCGATTGCATGTGAATAAGTGTTGTAGTACTTGTTTAAATTAGGGCTGTGCAATTAATCGAAAAAATTTTCGATTTCGGCCTCCAACGACTATGAAAATACAATAATCTAGATAAAACGATTATTCCGCCCCCATTCCGCCCCCTTTTCCAGCGCTGCGCTTTCATTCCTCCATAAAAGAGTAAAATCAGTAAAATCATGTAATGTGACATTTGTAAAATGGGACGTGCTTGATTTAAATAAGTATATTTATTCATGTTTTTAAAAGCGTGAAAGAGAACTTGCGCTGCTCCTCAGGAAGATATATGCGCTCACAGACGGAACAGAACACGGACATGTAAAGTCATCTTTTAGCTCAAGGCAGGGGTTGGCAAACTTGGCCCTTCCAGGCCACTTTCCTTCAGAGGTTAGCTCCAACCCTAATCAAACACACCTGAACCAGCTAATCATTGTCTTCAAGACTACTAGAAGGCTACAGGCAGGTGAGTCATATCAGGGTTGGATCAAATCTCTGCAGGAAAGTGGCCTGGAAGGGCCAAGTTTGCCCATCACTGGCTCAAGGTGTGCGCCTAAACAAGAAACAAAAAAGTTTTATTCTTATAGTGAAGACTATGCTGTTTTATTTTACATTTGATTATTCATTTCTGTAGTAGGTTAGGCTGTAAACTGGTTGAGACTTGCATAAAAAAACATTAAAGCACAGTTTGTTTCACTTGTATGTTTTTATTCTATTGTATTTGTCCTTTGCTTTTTTATTACTGACAGTTTAATTATTTTCAATAATTTTTAGGACTTTTTGTTTGTTTGTTTGAAATTCCGCTGGTCTCTACAATTTAGATAGCAACCTTATTTACAGGAAATATATATTTGATATGTATCACTATCTTTAAATAAATCACTCAT